AGGCCCAGCAAAATCAGCAGGCAGCTCTCAGGGACCAGAGATGTTACTTTCCGAGACAGGTGAAACACTGCAATACAAAAAGAGGGCAGGGTGCATCAGTTTATGGAATATCCTCCCACACCCAGGCGTATACCCTCCCAGTCTTAGAAGGTTAGTCAAAGTCAGGATTCCTGACCCTGGGACCAAGGGAGGAGAAATATGCAAGACTTCTAGAATTTCCAGTCTCCAGGGCTACAAACCCTCCTCTGCAGTCAAAGTCATCTGTTTGTTAGTGTTTCTGTCACAACATGGTAATCTAGGTCTTTACTGCTTTTTCCTCTTCCTCTTCTAGAAATGTCCCTTCCTCTCTACTTTCATCCTCAGGGAACCTCACCTTTCTCTGACTTCCCTTATCCATAGCCACTATTTGAACCTCAGCAAATGCTACCCAGTATCTTTCTATATATAAAATAGCTGTAAAAATCAGGACCTTTGAAGTCAGACTGCTTGGATTCAAAGCCTAGTTCTGTAATCTTAGGGCAAATAACTTCACCTCTCTGACTCTCAGTTTTCTCATCAGCGAAATGGGAGTAAAAACAGTAATGATCTCATAAGATTATTGGGACCATTAAAAAAGATAATCTATAGGCTGGGCATGGTGGCTCATGCCTATAATCCCAACACTTTGGGAGGCCAAGGTAGGCAGATCACCTGAGGTCATGAGTTCCAGATCAGCCTGGTCAACATGGCGAAACCCTGTCTCTACTAAAAATACAAAAATTAGCCGGGCGTGGTGGCGGGTGCCTCTAGTCCCAGCTACTCAGGAGGCTGAGGCAGGAGCATCACTTAAATTTGGGAGGTAGAGGTTGCAGTGAGCCAAGATCATGCCACTGCACTCCAGCCTGGGCAACAGAGTGAGACTCTGTCTTAAGAAAAAAAAAAAAAAGGCCAGGTGGCGTGACCAGCACTTTGGGAGGCCAAGGCAGGCAGATCATGAGGCCAAAAGATAGAGACCATCCTGGCCAACATGGTGAAACCCCTTCTCTACTAAAAATACAAAAATTAGCTGGGAGTGGTGGTGCACACCTGTAGTCCCAGCTACTTGGGAGACTGAGGCAGGAGAATCACTTGAACCCAGGAGACAGAGGTTGCAGTGAGCCAAGATCACGCCACTGTACTCCAGCCTGGTGACAGAGCAAGACTCTGTCTCAAAAAAAAAAAAAAAAAAAAAAAAAGACAGTCTACTGAAAAGCACTTAGCACACTACTTTACAGTAAGCACTCAATAAATTTACCTATTTATAAGTCCTCACTCCTTAACTAGACCAGAATGTATATTATACCTCCTAGGAGGCTTGTATTCCTAGCCCAGTATGCTTTCCATTATATGGACTCACTCAGGACTGTGTAAAACTTTAGTTTTAGCAGTCAGGAGATCTCCAGGTCTTCTTCCAGGCCTTAGCACATTCTGTGTGTTCTCAGGCAAATTATTTAACTTACTTGAATTTCATTTACTTCTTTTGTAATATAGGAAAAATACCCAGCATCAAGGGTGAGGATAAGATGACATAAAGTATGCAATATGTCTAGCATAATGTCAGACACGTAGTAGGTTCTCACCAAATGTTAATAGAACAGTTCTGTCTCTAGGAGGGGAGAAGAAAGGGTTTCTAGCACTATTGCCATTCATACTTTTGTCCTCTAAAAGAAACTCTTTGGCTCTCCTTTAAGTTCTCAGACCACAAGTGAACACCTCTCTCTCTACACAATCCCTGGTGTGCTGGGGAAGGAGGCCTCTAAATTAGCCTGTGTGAGACCCTATGCCAAGACAGTGCCCTTTGAAAGCTGTACCCAAAGGGCCTAGAACAGTGCCTGGCACATAGTGAGCTCAATGTAAATATTTGTTTAATAAAAGGGAAAAAGTCTCCTAGCAATGAAGCTGAGGGAAGGTGTTCCTGAATGTTCTGCCTTTCCCCCCACTTTTAGGAGTTTCTTTGGCTTGTGAGAAGGAGGCTGTCTTCTCTACTTCCATAGGAGATGTCATCCAAACTAGAAAAAGAAAGATGATTTATGGGGAAAACTGCAGTTGTTGCTATAAGCCCTAAGACAGGAACTCTTGTGCAACTCAGACTTCTCAGCAAACCCAATTGTTGGCTCCAAATCTGAGGCTCCTTTCACTCTTACTCTCATTGCTGCTGGGCCTCTAAGGTAAGCGTGGTCATAGATCTCTCCATACTTGTCCCGACTTTGGTCTCCCACTCCTCTCCTTCAGGGATTGTATTTCATCTGCATCTCTTTATGCATTAACCCCAGCCCTTTGATCCAAGTCCCATCACAGAACCAGGCTCCCCGGAGTCCCACTTTCCATTATTAATCTCAGGCTGCCACAGCAGAGTGGAGAGTTCTGTTCCTGCCCAGCCCCCTCACCCCCCAGCAATGTCCCTGTGAGAGAACAGGGGGCAAATTCTAGGCTCTGGGTGATTCCTCCATGAAGGCTGTATTGGTGAGATTGGAGTACAGGCTGTGCCAGCATCCATTGGGAGAGAGTAGCAACGCTCAGCTATAATTAGTCACCCCCACAGCAGAGCCTGCACAACAGGGAGAAGGGGGAGGGTCTCTGGTGGGAGGAGGGACCACTGGCTGCTCAGAAAGGAGGAGGAAGGAGCAGAGGCAAGGAAAAGCAGCTCTATTCCGGGAAAAAGAAGTCTGAAGCACAGCCTTCAATGCTGTCAGGGCTGAAGAAGTCGGATGTATGAAAGCTTCTAGGGTAGGCAGCACACAGGGAGCCCCCATACATGGAAGTTTGTTATACCCTGAAGTGGGAAGAATGTGGACCTGAAGGGGTGGGGGGTTCCCACACACAGGCACGAGAAGGCAGCAGCTTTAAGTGGGGAGCAGAGGAGAAGTGGCTGTGGTGTAGTTTCCCAAGGGAATGGACACTCGGACGTGGTCTCCAGGGAAGGCTGCTTCTTTAGAACCAGGATACCTGTGTTCGTGGGATGTCCCCACATGTCCTCACTGCCGACAGAGGTTTCTGGGAGGCCGAGGATTGGTGGGGGAGAGACCAGACCGAGGAGGGCCTACTGCAAGGGGAAGAGGGGAGCAGAGAGGGCAAAGGAGCCTAAAGATGGAGTTGGGGAGAGCAGGGGACAGCCCTTCAGAAAGGCAAATCCTCAGTGCTCCCACGGGAGAAGACAGGGACCAGGGACCCACAAGAGGCAACGCAGGAACTGGGCGAGAGCCCGGATTTGTGGAATCCAAACCTGAGTCCCGGCACTATGCAAGAAGCCAGCCCCAATCTAAGGACTGAGGAGGTGGGGGTGTTGGGGGCGGGTCCGCCGCGGGCCGTTGGCCTGGCGCACGCACACACGCACTCACCGATTTTGGCCAGGCTGGCCACCAGGATCCACAGGGCTACCAGGTAGGGCGCCTCGACCTCGTGCCACTGCCAGCGGAAGAGCTCCAAGCCTGGGAGAGGCTCGCCCAGGGACTCCGGCTTCTGGGTGGGCTGTTCGGCCGCCCCCGCCAGGGGCAGCGCGAGCAGGGACAGTGCGGCGCGCAGCATCCTGTCTCCTGCCCAGCCGCCCTCCCGGCACCGCACGGCCGCCGGCCCCGCGTCGCCGCCGCCACCTACCGGGCGCCCCCGCGTCACAGGCACGTGGGCCCCGCTCCCCCCAATCCCGGCTGCGACGCCCCCAAGCCGGGTCCGGGCTCGGAGACCCTGCCCCGGACGCCCGTAGTCTAGGACCCCCTCCTCCTTCCTCCCTAAATCAGTTCCAGCTCCGGAAATCCCCCAGTGCAGCTCTCCCCCAACTTCCACAACCTACTCCTCCGAGTCTGCTCCTCCAATACCGCCGCCACCGGATTCAGAACGGTGCGCGGTCACGACTCCCCGGGGCAGCCCGCAGCTGGAAGGGCGATGGTCCGCCGGGGGGCGCGGTCAGGACGGGAGGGGCACGGCTCCTCCTCCGCCAGCGCTGCGGGGCGACCAGCAGCCCTCTTCTGGGGCCCAGGTGCGGCCGGGTGCAGACTGCAGGGGACCGTGCTCCACCGCGGTCGGCGCCGAGCTCCCAAGCCCGGGACCCTCCGCCGGCCCCAACCCGGACCTGAGCTGCGCACGCGCACTGTACGTTCCCTCAAAGCAGTGATGGACAACGCTGCCCCCGACGTCCCCAGAAACCCCAGGGCCCAGACCGGCCCAGCTCATTCCAGGAGAAGAGGAAGGCTGTTCATCTCCCAAACCGAGAGGCACCTGGCTCTCCCTTTCAATCACACTACAGGGAACTGTCTCATTTCTCCCATGAAGCTGACAGGAACCTACGGCAAACCCAGCCTACTGATTCCCTTCAAACTAGGCGGGATGCACCCAGCCTTTTCCAAATCTGAGGGGCATTCGGCTCATCTCGCACCAGAGGAGGACTGTCTTCACTTTTCATTGAAGCTGAGGGGCACCCATCCCACTTTTTCTCCAAATCTGAAGGGAACGTGTTCTATCTGCCCCCTCAAACTGACTCATCCCAATCTTTTCCCAGAAAACTGAAGGGCATCCTTCCCTCTTCCTCCCACAACTAAAGGGAACTGATCCCATCTCTTCCTTCAAACTGAGTGGAATCTATTCTCACTTCTTGCTCAAAATTGAAGGGACCCCCTCACTGTTTTCCCCAAATGAGGAAGCACTCATCCCTCAAATGGAAGGAATGAGGATCATCTTATCTCTCAACTGAGAGAGACCTGGCCGGCCACTATCTAAAGAAACTTCTCCCCCATCTGTCCTAACACCCCTCAAAGAGAACACAGCCTCACTACCCCCAGACCGAAGAAAGCCTCCCGCCCTCGGTTCCTTCTCGAAGGCGGGGCGCGAGCTCGGCTTTTCCCGCCCTCCTGGCCAGTGAACTAACGGCATTCCCGCTGGGTCCTGTGAGTGGCTAGCGCCAGCCCCGCCTCCGGCAGTGGTTACCTCCACGCGCGCAATCGGGGACCAATCTTGGCTCCACCCCCTTCCTCGGCCCAGCCTCCGTCTGGCCCCGCCCCTCCAGCCGCGTCCGGTCTGGCCCAGCCTGAACAGCAGAGCTACAGTGTGCTGGAGCAGAAGCTGCTGTGGGGCCGGGATTCCGAGGTTCGCCGCGCGAGCCGGCGGCAAAGCCATGGCGGGCGGGGACGACAGCGGGGACGGGGAGCGGGTATCAGTGGTGACCGTGAGGGTGCAGTACCTGGAAGACACCGACCCCTTCGCGTGTGCCAACTTCCCGGAGCCGCGCCGGGCCCCCACCTGCACCCTGGACGGGGCGCTGCCCCTGGGCGCGCAGATACCCGCGCTGCACCGCCTGCTAGGGGCGCCGCTCAAGGTGAGGGGGGCTGGAGAAAGGTTGGGGCAATAGAGGGTTTAGGGTGGGCGCTATGAAAGCTGGTGGGAGGTACACTTCGGGAAAAGGCTGGAGCAAGTGCTCTCCCGAAAAGTCTTGGACTGGCGTCCCAGGGTCCACGCTGTCCCTCCTGCGGGGGAGTCCCCTCTCAAGTTGAGGGGAAACTGAAGAGGGGTGCTAGAAACTTGTCCCCGGCATTCTGGCCTCCCTTCGAATTAGGCGCACCCGGGGAGGTGCTCGAGTTCCACTCGCCATCCGTTTGCCAGGGTGGCTTCCCTGGTCAGGGTGACGGTAACTGTTTGGGCCGTAGTGGACCCTGGAGGCGGAGCTGAGGAGGGACCAGCTTCCACCTGCTTCAGGTGAGGTGGGGGCGGGACCCCGAGGAGAGGCGGGCCCGGGGCTGGCTACTAGAGGTGGCAGAGGTTTCCCGCGGTGTCATGAAGCTGGATTGGGGCTTGACCCTGTAGGTCAGTGGGAACAAGGGAGTGCCGGCCGAGGAGAGACTTCACGGGGTGAGGGGAGTCCCCGGGAAGCGGTCTGGCCTGGGATTCGCAGAGCGCAGGAGGCTGCACGGGTGGAAAAGCCCTTTGAGTCACCGCTCCCGCTCCCCATCCCCCGACACTCGCCGCCCATCGGCCTGCTCCTGGAAGTGAGAGGGAGGGCCAGGCTAATTTTAAACCGCCGGCCTGCTCTACTTTGCCGCCGCCCCGAAGCCGACTTGTGCACTGTGCGGGAGGAGGCCCTTTTCCAGATGGCCAGCCTACCTCTTCTCCCCTCCCTCTCACCGCCCTCAGCCCCCCGCAAGCAGCCCTTTCCGGCACGCTGTTTCCGGGCCAGGACTCTGGGAGGCGCACTACTACCACCCCCAGGCTCCCCGCCAGTCCGGCCGCCTCGAGTGCTGGGGAAGAGAGGAGGGAGTCGGTGTGGCTGCCCTCCCCTGCTCCCAGCCTCAGTTGGGCGCCGCGTTGCGTAAACTTGCCCCTTGGGCCCAGGGTCTCCCTTGGAATGTGCCCCGGGCCCCCAGCCCGCATTCCTCGCTCGCCCTGAGGCCGGCCCCGCCTCTGAGCGCTAGCGGAAGGGGTGAGACTTTTGGCCTGGGGAGTGGCCCCCCACCCGGCTTCAAGGCCAAAGGATGCAGCACACTGCCTACCGCCTGAGTTTTGACGCAGAGCCCACTTGTCCTGCCCTATTCAGAGGGGCAAACTGAGGTGTCCTTGGAAGAAGCGTGTGCAGCTGAAGGCCACCTCCCATTCAGGCTGGGGGCTGGGAAGACAGGAGTGCTGAATTGTGACTGGTTCCCCCTTCCAGGCTCCTAAAGTCCTGGTCCTGAAATAAGGGTGGGTCACTAGAGAAAAGGTAGTATTCCTCTTATCCTGCCACTCAAGGATTGGACCTAACCCTGACACCCCCCCCACACACACACACACTTTTTCTTTTTAAGATGGATTCTGGCTCTGTGCCCAGGCTGGAGTGCAGTGGAGCCATCTTGGCTCACTGCAACCTCCGCCTCCCGGATTCTAGCAATTCTGCCTCAGCCTCCTGAACAGCTGGGTTTACAGGCGTGCGTCACCACGCCCAGCTAATTTTTTTATTTTTAATAGAGACAGGGTTTCGTCATGTTGGCCAGGCTGGTCTCAAACTCCTGATCTCAGGTGATCTGCCTGCCTTGGCCTCCCCAAGTGCTGGGATTACAGGCATGAGCCGCCGTGCCCAGCCCCTTGATGCCCCGCTTCCCAACTGGGGGCAGGCCTGGGAGGTCAGCTGCAAGAAAGAGGCTCAGAACCACCCCTTCCATCTCATCTCATGGGACCCATTTCCCCACCTGACCCCACAAGGTGCTCTGCCCTCTGTTCCCTGCTCCTTTGCTGAGGACACTACAGAGCTCCAATGGAGAATATAAGTTTCCCATCCCCAATGCAGTCCTTCCTGGTGTCCCCAGTTTCATGTTCTCCCACCTGGAGTACCTGAGGACTGCCTCCCCTCCCCCACAGGGATATGGAGGTGGCAGTACACTAGGTTACCACAATACCCAGAGCCAGGACTCCCTGGGGCTAGCAGCTCTGCCAGGAATGGTCAGATGCACTGTGATGTGCTCAACCCAAATATAAACTGTGACCGCAGCCCCAGAATAGAAGACTGGAGGAAGAGGGGCCAAGAATAGGGCAGGGGCAGGGACATCAGAGAGCTGAGCGAGGGGGAGCAGGGCCCCTCCTTGCAGGAAATGTCAACAACTGGTTCCTCCCATAGTCCTATAAGTGGGTGCCCCAGAGGCACAGACATGACACTGTCTTGCTGGCCCTCTAGAGGGGAAAGGTGGCCCAGAAGCCCAGGCATCCCTGTCCCAAGCTGTAGGGCAGAAATAAAAGGAGGGTGTTCTCTACTCATTGCTTTATCCTATGTACAGTAGGATAGGACAGAGGACAGGACACAGCAGAGGACAGGACACAGCCAAGTGGCCTCTGTCTTCCTCTGAGTACTGGCCCTGGGCACTGGCCCTGATCATCCCAGCAGATGACCCCCCTCCCTGGGGATGTACCGAGGCCAGCCTGCTTTCTCCCTGGGGCTCCACCTGCATACCCTTTTGGACCAAGCCCAGCCCCTAGAGTTCTCCTGGGGGCTTCCTTTTTAAAGAGTTTTCAGGTCTGAGAAAGCCTTGCTCATTTCCTCCTAGTCTAGGAGGAAGCTCCTGGCCACAGCCTCTGACTCATCTCCTGGCCCTGGTTGGTGGAGGGAAGCCTGACAGTGCCTTGGGCCAGACCTAGTGTTGAGGGGGAACTCAGGAGTGCCTTCCTCCCCTCCATGCAAAATATTCCCCCAGCCCAGGGACCTGCCTTTGCCCCAGGGGAGAATGTGTCCCTCTGGCCCTGTATCTCATCTCCTAATCCAGAGCTTCCCAGTCCTACCCTCTCCCTTCTGGGAAGTGTCTCAGGAGCCTCTCTCTGATACCCAAGGCCCTCACCACACCGCGTATAGCACTGACTTTCTCCCTGAGCTCTGGGTAAGGGGGCCTGGGGTGCTTCCCTGACCCTGCTGCAAAGCCAGGCAAGCCCTCTCCCCCTGGCAGTGGGGATGGCCTTAGAAATCTGGTCATTATGAGCAACTTTGTTTTCCTAGCTGTGGCTAAAAATCAGAGCAGGACAGTGGTGGCACTGTCCTGAAATGTTTCCTGACCCTACCCCAACCCATCTAGCCTTTTTACATCTCAGGAGTCTGGGAGACTGTAGAAAACTGGAGTGTGGGAATGAGCCCTGGTCTCCTGGCCTCCTCTGGGGGCTGGTCCATCCAATCTGCTGGTTATTCTGGAACAGAGTGGCTAAGCTGCAGCCTGGTGAGGGACCCTGGCACTTAGGTCTTGGCAGAGGTAGATACTATTATCCTAGCTTGTATGAGGTATGTGTGTCTACTAGTGTTCCCTTGCTGGAACTGGGAGGGCCAGTTTGGAGTCCAGAAAGCTAAGAGGATGTCTTCAGCTCTTGGCAATCCTGCGGGTCCCAGCCCTCACTCCACCTCCCCTCTAGGGTTCCCTGGAGCACTTCCAGGGCCCATCCGCCCAAGATGGCATCAATTAGCCATGGCTCCTGGCTATGCAGCCTGGGGCAATGTGCTAATTTTCTCATTCTTGGTTTCCCTATCTGTAAAAGGATTATTGGTAGAATCAAATTAAATAGACGGCTCAGGCTGGGCTTCTCATGGCTCATGCCTGTAATCTCAGCACTTTGGGAAGCTAAGGCCAGAGGACTGCTTGAGGCCAGGTGTTCAAGAACAGTGTGGGCAATATAGACCCTAAGAAAGAAAGAAAGAAAGAGGCAGCCCAGTGCCACAGAGGAAGCATAATGAAAAGATAACAAAAGTGGATTTCCCTCCCCAAGGGCCATCCATGTCATCTCATTCAGGAAGTCACTCTCTAGTTGGAGACCCACGATAACAGGAAAGGAGGGTCTTTAGAACACTGGGTCCTGTGTTTATAGGAAAGGAGACAAAAGAGGCAGTTAACCAATTATTTTTTAAAACAGAAGCCCTTCAGCCTATAATCCCACCCCTTTTCCATCTTCCCTGTACCCTGCTCTAGTATGTTCAGTCTTACCTGATTACACTGTTATTAAAAATATCGGGTAAGATAGTCCAAAAAACAAAAGGGGAAAATATATATGTATATTAGATAATAGATATATATAATTGCTAGATCTAGGTTATCAATACCTATAGACATCTATATTATAGATAGATGTCTATAATATAGATATAGATACATATTTAGAACGAGAGAGAAGTAGATGCCATGTTCCCCTGAGCTTGATCTTGCATATAAAACCATATGTAACCAGTTGGTTTTGGGCTGCCAGAAAAGCCTGGGCCTGGAGAGTCAAGAGAACAGTGGGCTGGAGGCCAAAGTGAGAAGCTGAGCCTGGGAAGAATGAGGGAAGGACCCTACCCCAAGACAGAGACCAGAGAAGTGAGGAAGACAAGAGCCAGGAAGGTGTCAGGGATGTGGGTCCATACTACATGCTGACTTTAAGCCCTGTCAGCAAGGACCAGGGTTTGGGCTTACTCAAGCCTGGCCCAGCCCCAGGGTGTGAGAAACAAGGCCCAGAAGTTTGGCTTTCTCAGAAGGGTGACCCCAGGAAGGGGCCAGGGGTATGAGGGACAAGTACCATCCTGCTGGCAGGAAGTCTCCAGCTCTTTGCTGCTTGCCTGACTCTAGCCTACCACCCCCAACTTCCACACAGGACTGACAGCTGGGGGTGGGGAGACTCTATCCTGGAAGGCACTAGACTGCCTGTTTTCCTGGACCTCCTCCCCAGAAATGGGGCCCTGGTAGGATTGGACAGGCGAAGTGGCTGAGGAGAACACTGCCACGACGACAGGGTTGAACCTGCTCAGCTAAGAAGACTAGAGAAGGGGGACAATTGGCTGAGTGCAGTGGCTCACACCTGTAATCCCAGCACTTTTGAGAGGCAGAGGCTGGTGGATCACTTGAGGTCAGGAGTTCAAAAACCAGCCTGGGCAACATGCTGAAACCCCATCCCTACTAAAAATACAAAAATTAGCCAGGCATGGTGGTGGACGCCTGTAATGCCAGGTACTTGGGAGGCTGAGGTAGGAAAATCACCTGAACCTGGGAGGAGGAGGTTGCAGTGAGCTGAGATCTTGCCATACTGCACTCCAGCCTGGGAGACAGACTGAGATTCCATCTCAAAAAAAAAAAAAAAGGGGTGGACCACTTACCCTTCAGGACCCTGCCCCAAATGGATGCAGGTGTCCCAGTTCTCCTGGAAGGAAAGGGGCCATTCTCTGCTCCCTTGGGATTAGAGCATGCAAGAGCACAGGACAGTGTGGTGGGCCTGACCTTTCTGGGGCTGTGCTGCTTCAGCCCGTGTTTGAACTGTTGGCCACTTCAAAGCCGACCTTATACCTGGGTATGTAAGCAGTTATCAGGTGTAACATGATCTCCCCTCCCCTTTCTTAGCACCCTTGGAAGTTGTGATTTTGTGTTTTCTGAGTTAAGTCTGTCTGTCTTCCCCACTGGGCTACAAGGAAGGAAGGGAAGGCAAAGGCAGTGTCTGATTCCTGCTAGGTCCTCTGCATCTGAAACCAGCGGGTTCATGAATGTTCAAATGAATGAGCTGTTCTATACGTGTGTGATTTGGGGGGGAATCCCTGACGGGGGTGGCTCTGGGGGAGGTATCTTCCTCTAGGGTTCCAGAATCCTCCAGGCCAAGGGAGGGAGATAATGGCTGTGCCTGAATGGGGGTGGGGTGGTAGGCTGCTGAGTCACTGTGTGGGAAGAGAGATCAGGAGGAATGTGGGCTGCCCTCAGCTGAGCTGGCCCTGGACAAGACACCCCAGCCCTCAGGCCTTGCTGCCCCTTCTCAGGCCTGCTCCCAGTAGGCTCTGGAGAAGATGACTCTGCTCCCAGAGAGGGGAAAGCGGCCAGGCCCGCCCAAGGCACCCTGGGGAGGGCATGCAGCCAGGCAGGAAGTGGGACAGAGAACAGGCTGGAGTGTTTGTCCTATGTCCCAGGTCCCAGGCGAGGGGGTGTGGGGATCACCCAAGGGCCCCACAGGCTAAACTGTGGGGAAGGAGCCAGGTCAGGCTCTGAGGCAGGAGCAAGGGGTGCTAAACAGAGGCGGGAGCTGGGGCAGGAGCTGGCCTCCCTTTTCCCCAGGGGACCAAGGCCAGTTGGAAGCCCTTGGGCAGGGTCCAGAACAGGGCAGGGCTGACCAAACAGCAGGACAAATGTTGAAATTGACATGCCCAGTAAGATGGAGACTGGAATACCCCCTGCCTCTTCAGAGGTGGGCTCTCTGGGCCAAGAAATCTCAAGGGCCAGAGCCACTTAAGTCAAGGGGACTTTGCTGAGCCTGCATACCTGCACTGTGCAATGGGGGAGGTATCTGGGAGAGGCAGAGTGCCACACTCTGACTCAGGAGTCACCTCCCTCAGGCTTCTCTACAGGCACTTCTCCAGTACCATGCCCTGTGGCAGGGGAGGAGAGCCAGGCTCAGGGAGGGAAACATGGGAGATGGACATGTGGTTGGAGCATGTGCCTGCCTGTTAAAAAGGCTGGACTCAGGGTCCTACTGTAGACTGAGTCAGACTCTAAATTGTTTTGTTTTGTTTTGTTTTGTTTTGTTTTGTTTTGTTTTGTTTTTGAGAGGGAGTCTCTGTCACCCAGGCTGGAGTGCAATGGTGTGGTCTCAGCTCACTGTAACCTCCGCCTTCCAGGTTCAAGCAGTTCCCCAGCTTCAGCCTCCCTAGTAGCTGGGATTACATGCACCCGCCATCATGCCCGACTAATTTTTGTATTTTGTAGAGATGGAATTTCACCATGTTGGCCAGGCTGGTCTCGAACTCCCGACCTCAAGTGATTCGCCTGCCTTGGCATCACAAAGTGCTGAGATTACAGGTGTGAGCCAGCATGCCCAGCCTTAAGTTTGTTTTTTAACAGGCCCTCTTGTGGGGGTTCTCTGAAGTCCAGCTAGGACCATTGTAACTGAAGCCCACTTTGGGGAAGGCAAAGACCCGGAAATCTGGTGGGACTGGGGAGTCTATAGATCAGACCCTGTTCTTCACCCTCTTACTCACTGAGACACACACAGACACACTCTCCCAGATGGGTTTGCACCTCCCAGCCTCTTAACACTTTCTCTCTGGGGGTTAATGCTTTGTGACTACAGCTTTTCACCCCACAAGGCTGTGAGCTTCCTCGAAGGCAGGAACTTCCTCCCATCTTCTCTTAATTCCCCTTCCTCATCTGTGTTCATTAGCTCAACAAGCCTTAGTGAGTGGTTACCACGTGTCAGGTGCTATGCCAGGCTCTACAGATACAGCAGGGAGCAAGACAGATGGAGTGCCTGAATGCAGAGAACACAGCTAGAAGGGAAGGAGACCAGTGGCTCGGATATTAGAATGTTGTGTGGAAGGTCTCCGAGGATAGCACACACACAGGGTGGAGTGGGTTGCACAGCAACCTAAAGAGTAGGTAGGTGTCAGCCAGGAGAGGAAATGGCAGAGACAAAGGGCAAGAAGGCCTGATGCCTGAGACAAATGGGCTTTGCACATAGTAGGCATTTGAAAAACAACTGCTGGCCGGGCGCGGTGGCTCAAGCCTGTAATCCCAGCACTTTGGGAGGCAGAGGCAGGTGGATCACGAGGTCAAGAGATCGAGACCATCCTGGTCAACATGGTGAAACCCTGTCTCTACTAAAAATACAAAAAATTAGCTGGGCATGGTGGTGCATGCCTGTAATCCCAGCTACTCAGGAGGCTGAGGCAGGAGAATTGCCTGAACCCAGGAGGCGGAGGTTGCGGTGAGCCGAGATCGCGCCATTGCACTCCAGCTTGGGTAACAAGAGCGAAACTCCATCCCCAAAAAAAAAAGAAAAGAAAAGAAAAGAAAAACAACTGCTGAAGGAATGCACGGCTGTAGTGCAGACCCTGTGTCTCTCTGCCACCCCCAAACTGGGAGGTAAGAGGTCAGGGGTCTTCATACATTTTCCTGCCACCTTTTCCTCAGTCTCAAGCTGTCCCTTTTGTCCCCAGCTGGAGGACTGTGCTCTGCAAGTGTCTCCCTCTGGATACTACCTGGACCCTGAGCTGTCCCTGGAAGAGCAGCGGGAGATGCTGGAGGGCTTCTATGAAGAGATCAGGTCAGAACTGATGGGGCCAGGGAGGTAAGGTTATACCCACCCTTGCCAGGGGCTGGCTCAAATGTCAGCAGCTGAGACACTTGATCGCTAGCCTGGGCCATGGGTCACCTCCTGCCCCAGGGAACTGTGCCATGGGTCACCTCCTGCCACAGGGAACTGGCCAAGGGAAATCTAAAGCCTGGCCAGTGTTACCTGCTGCCCAAGATGGGAGTCAGGGGCTCTCCCACATACCTGAGAAACATATGTTTGCACCAACCTTCTTGTCTGGCCAACCCTTGGGTCCTTGGTGGAGCAGCTGGGGAGGAAAGAGTTGGGCTGGGGTTGGCATGGGGAGGTCTTTGGCTCCATTGGTTTGTGGGGAGGGATGCTGAGGGATAGGCTGGGAGCTGCTGACAGGGATCCTTGATTCCAGCAAAGGGCGGAAGCCCACGCTGATTCTTCGGACCCAGCTCTCTGTGAGGGTCAACGCCATCTTGGGTGAGTGTGTGAGGGCATCCGTGTCCAGCAGCACCTCCTCCCCATAGCCCAGTTGGCTCACTTTCAAGCCTGTGCTGAACAGTGGGCGGAGCAGGTTCAGCTGGATGTGCTTCTTCCTTTCCCTATCCTGACCTCTTCTTCCAGGGCCAGGGTGGGAGTGGAGGGGGGTTCAAGAATGTTAGTACAGACCAGGTACTTGCAATGCCATTGCTTTGGGAGGTCAAGGTGGGAGGGATTGCTTGAGGCTAGGAGTTTGAGGCTGCAGTAAAGCTATGACTGTGCCACTGCACTCCAGCCTGGGTGACAGAGTGAGACCCTCTTAGACAAAAATATATATATGTGTGTGTGTGTATATATATATGTATGTATGTATACATATTCATATATGTGACTGTTTATATATATGACTATTCTTTGGTGGAAGTTGTGGCTGTGTCCCAATAGAGGAAGACAGTGAGTCTGTGTACCCTAGAGGGTTTCATGCCCTACCTTTTGCAGAAAAGCTGTATGGCTCCAGTGGTCCAGAGCTCCGCCGCTCCCTCTTCTCACTGAAACAGATCTTCCAGGTGAGGCCCCACAGTGGGCTAGGGGTGGGTGTACAGTCCAAGCCTTGCTAAACTCTCCCATGGTGCCCCCAGGAGGACCAAGACCTAGTGCCTGAATTTGTGCATTCAGAGGGGCTGAGCTGCCTGATCCGTGTGGGTGCTGCTGCCGACCACAACTACCAGAGCTACATCCTTCGAGGTCAGCCCCACCCCTCCCCCATGACCTCTGCTCCAGCGACCCTCACTGACTCTGCTCATCCCTGTGTCCCCAGCACTTGGCCAGCTGATGCTCTTTGTGGATGGAATGCTGGGGGTGGTGGCCCACAGTGAGACTATTCAGTGGCTGTACACACTGTGTGCCAGCCTGGTAAGTGGCTCTCCACCCGGCCTTATACCCTTTGCCTATTGCTTCTCTCTGGGCCTCAGTTTCCTGTTCCGCAAAGTAGGCTGGGAGTGAGTGAGTCTGAGGCCTCTTTAAGCCTAGAAGGCACTTCAGTGCCTGGGCCTGGAGCAGAGTCATTCTGTCTAGATTCTCCTCTCTGGGTCCAGCCCCAACAGCCCTTCCCCTTCTCCAGCAGGAGCTGGCACAGGTCTGGCCTAAGCCCCACTTATATGTGCTGACCTCTCCCCTCAGTCCCGCTTGGTGGTGAAGACAGCCCTGAAGCTGCTGTTGGTGTTTGTAGAATACTCGGAAAACAACGCCCCGCTGTTCATCCGTGCAGTCAACTCTGTGGCCAGCGCCACCGGTCAGAGACTGTCCCTTCCTCCCCCACCACTCACAGCCCTCTCTCCTACCTGTCCCCCCATGACACTTTCTGTGTGGCAGGTGCTCCTCCTTGGGCCAATCTGGTGTCCATCCTGTTAGAGAAGAATGGCACTGACCCTGAGCTTTTGGTGTACACGGTCACCCTCATCAACAAGGTGTGGTCAAGAACTGGGTGCCAGCTCTGGGCTGCTCGGGTTCCTGACCTCCCCACCAACCTCAGCCTTGCCTTCTTATCTCCGCCCTCCAGACACTGGCAGCGCTTCCAGACCAGGACTCCTTCTACGATGTGACGGATGCACTGGAGCAGCAGGGCATGGAAGCACTGGTCCAGCGCCACCTGGGCACTGCAGGCACTGACGTCGACCTGCGCACACAGCTTGTGCTCTATGAGGTGGGCCGGACCCTAGGCTCTGAGGGGGACTGGAAGGAGGGAAGAGAGAAGTGCAGTCCCCAGCACCTCACCCCACCTGCATGCACGTTAACCACTTGCTTACATCATGGTCCACCACTGCTAGAACGCCCTGAAATTGGAAGATGGAGACATCGAGGAAGCCCCAGGCATGGGTGGGCGGCGGGAACGACGAAAGCCTTCTTCTGAGGAGGGCAAGAGGAGCCGCCGATCTCTGGAAGGCGGGGGCTGCCCTGTGCGTGCCCCAGAACCTGGGTAAGTATGAGCCTCGGTAGATGGGGAACGGTGGATCTACTAGGCAGGGCCCTGTCAGCTGACAGGCCCTGACCCCCACCCCTCAGGCCCTGCCCCACTGACAGGCCCCACCTCCAGCTCCTCAGGCCTTACCCCACTGACAGCCCCTGCCTCCAGCTCCACAGGTCCCGCCTCACCAGTAGGCCCCACCTCTTCCACCAGCCCCACCTCCAGCCCGATGAGCCCTCCCTCTGGCCTCCAAGCTTCAGTGAACCTTTTCCCTACTATCTCTCTGGCACCCTCGGCTGACACCTCCAGCGACAGGAGCATCTACAAGTAAGTAGGGAGACAGAGGCCACCCTGGAGTCCCCTCTCCCACTGTCCCTCTGCTTTGCACCCCTCCATGGGCCCTCAACCTCCTCTGCCCAAACTCGTGCTTTCTGTCTCTCTTTCCAGACTTCACCAAACTGCTCCTGTTTGGTAAGTGACTGCCAGCGGGTGGGGCTCTGCTCTGACTGGATCTCCTCCTTCCATGGCTTCCTTTGTCTCCTGACATTCTGCCTGTCTTTGCCTCTGGTCATGTCTCCTATCCCCTATCTGTCTGTCACTCCCTTGTTCTGCTGCCACTGTCTCTTCCTGCACCCTGTCCTGCTTCACGTCAGTCTCTCCCCTCCACTTCCAGTATCCTCATGTCATGCCTTCCCCCCTTCCCACTGCAGCTGGGAAGGAACACCAATATCACTGCCCAGCTCTGTGTGGGTATGAGCAACCATGGAGCTGGCACCACAGTTACCATCTCTTCCTCTCATCCCCCCTACCCAGGGCCCCTGAGAGCCCACCCGTCCCCCAGTCCCCTCCTGGGCAGGCCAGGCTGGAGTAAGTACAGAGGCCAGCCTGCCAGGCCTGCCATGTGCTCAGGGCTTCAGCATTGCTTCCCCAGCTGGGGTTCCACATGCCTGATGCAGCCAGAGCTGGGGGACTCTCAGGCCTATCCTCTCCTAGACATATGCCACCTTGGTAACCCAAAAGCTAAACACTGGGAAGCAATTCACTGGGGCCACGGTGGTCCCTGTGCTTCAGTAGTGACACCTTAGCAGCCAGAGATGGGGATGTGGATGCCCAATATGGGGCTCATTCTGCCATGTCCTCAGCTCAGGAATGGACAGGGAGGAGACCTAGGGTGCTGTGTGGTGTGAGGGTGGAGGGGTTACCTAAGACTGAGGGAAAGGCAGGGACTGAAAGCCGACAGAGGCTGGAGGGGCCAGAAAAGAGATACTGGATTGCACCCATTATTTTAGCATAAACTGAGTGTTCAATGTTTACCATGAACTTATTTTTTTTTTGAGACAGAGTCTTGCCCTGTCTCCAAGACTAGAGTACAATGGCACAGTATCAGCTAACAGCAACCTCCGCCTCCCAGGTTCAAGCAATTCTCCTGCCTCAGCCTCCCAAGTAGCTGGGATTACAGGCCTGCACCATGGCGCCTGGGTAATTTTTGTATTTTTAGTAGACACAGGATTTCACCATGTTAGCCAGGCTGGTTTCCAGCTCCTGAGTTCAAGTGATCCACACACCTCTGCCTCCCAAAGCGCGGGGATTACAGGCATGAGCCACTGCGCCTGGCCTGTTTACCAGGCCCTTTCCTGGACATAGGCTCCCAGAAGCTACCAGACATGCCAGAGGAGGGACAGCCTGATATAGCCATTGGGACAGCTGTCCCCTTCCCCTGCTCTAAGAGTCCTTGTCTAGCCTCAAGACACTAGCCTGGGCAACATAGCAAGACCTTGTCTCTACAGAGAAATTTTTAAGAATTTGGCTGAGTACCTCATTGTTGCCTGTAATCCCAGCACTTCAGGAGGCTGAGTTGAAAGGATTGCTTGAGGCCAGGAGTTCAAGACCAGCCTAAGCAACAAAGTGAGACCCTGTTTCCACAAAAACAAAAATTAACTGGGCATGGTGGCACATGCCTGTAGTCCCAGCTACTTGGGAGGCTGAGGCTCAGGCCCAGGAGGTTGAGGCTGCGGTGAGCTATGATTACACCACTGTACTCCATCCTGGGTGACTGACAGAATGAGACGCTGTCTCTAAAAAACAAACAAAAAAAATTCAGGACAGTGAACATGAACGAAGTTCCGAGTTAGATGTTAATTCTCCCTCTATTTTCACCTGGGAATGCTGGGTTGGTAGTAATCCTCCCCACATGTGGAGGACTGAGGAGAGGCTGGCCTTGTGGGGCGGTTCTGGTCTGCTCAGCGCATGGACTGTTCCCCGTGTGTGTGTGCCTGCAACTGGGTGTGGTGTCCAGGGGCTCAGCAAGGCATGTGCACCTGGGCTGGGGTGTGTCAGACAGTCACTGACAAGCACTCCCCTCAGAACCCGGTTCCTGGAGAATGTGGCGGCAGCAGAAACAGAGAAGCAGGTTGCGCTGGCCCAGGGCTGGGCAGAGACATTGGCTGGGGCCATGCCTGATGAGGCAGATGGACACTCAGGTGAGTAGGTGGGTGGGTGGGCAGAGTCTGCCTGTTGCTCTGTTGCCCCACAGAGGGCATGGCACTGACAGCTGCTTCCCTTTCTTTAGATGCCCAGGAACTCTGGGACTCCCCAGAGACAGCCCTTGTACCCAGAACACCCCATAGCCCTGCCCCCCGTGTCCTGCTCCAGACCCAGCGAAGCCTTGAGCCAGAGCCCAAGGAGCCACTGATGTCATCAAGCCCCAAGGCTGAGCCCACCTGGGAGCTCCCTACCCGTGCACCCAAGCTCTGCATTGGGGACCTGGACTTCTCAGATCTGGGGGAGGACGAAGATCAGGACATGCTGAATGTAGAGTCTGTGGAAGTTGGGAAAGGGGTCCCACCTCCCCCACCCCCACTGCCCCTGTTCTCTGGAGTCCCCCCACCTCCCCCACCTCTACCTCCCCCACCCATCAAAGGCCCCTTCCCACCACCGCCACCTCTGGCTGCGACTCTTCCCCCTTCAGTGCCTGACAGTGCAGCCCTCCCCACCAAGAGGAAAACAGTAAAACTTTTCTGGCATGAGCTAAAGCTGGCTGGGGGCCATGGAGTCTCTGCAAGCCGCTTTGGGCCCTGCGCCACCCTCTGGGCTTCACTGGAGCCCGTCTCAGTGGATACGGCCCGGCTAGAACACCTCTTTGAGTCCCGTGCCAAAGACGTGCTGCCCTCCAAGGTACATCTACGGATCTGCATGGTAGCCCCAATGGAGGTGGCAGGGAATCAGAGCTCAAGGATCTGACCTGTTGGAGCTAGTCACTCACTTCCCACATGGGGAAACCAAGGCAAAGAAAGGAGTAGGGAATTGTCCAAAGTCTCCTAACAAGGGATCAGCAGTGCCCCAACTAGAATCCAGTTGCCTGGGCATGGTGGCTCATGCCTGTAATCCCGGAGTTTGAGACCAGCCTGGGCAACATAATGAGCCCTTATCTCTATTAAAAGTTGGGCCAAGTGCAGAGGCTCATGCCTGTAATCCCAGGACTTTGAGAAGCTGAGGTGGGTGCATCATTTGAGGTCAGGAGTTTGAGACCAGCCTGGTCAAATTGGCAAAACCCCGTCTCTACTAAAAATATAAAATGAGCCAGGTATGGTGATGGGTGCCTGTATCCCAGCTACTTGGGAGGCTGAGGCGGAAGAATCAATTGAACCCAGGAGGTGGAGGTTGCAGTGAGCCGAGATTGTGCCACTGCACTCCAGCTTGGGTGACAGAGCAAGCCCCGAACTCAAATAAATAAATAAATAAATAAATGTTAAAACACAAAATTGGCCAGGCACAGTAGCTTACTCCTGTAATCCCAGCACTTTGGGAGGCCAAGGCAGGCAGATCACTTGAGACCAGGAGTTGGAGACCAGCCTGGCTAACATGGTGAAAAGCCATCTCTACTAAAAATATAAAAATTAGCCGGGCTTGGTAGCTCGTGCCTGGAATCCCAGCTACTTGAGAGGCTGAGGCAGGAAGATCTCAGAAGATAAACTGCAATGGGCTATGATGGCACCACTGCACTTTAGCCTGGGTGGCAGAGCAAGACCTTGTCTCAAAAGAATCTAAACTCATCCCAATGTCTTATACATCCCAGGTTGCCAGTCAGTTGTGGGATCATTTGGCTATTTTTTTTTTTTTTTTTTTTTTTTTTTTTT